TTTACAGTGATTTATTCTGATATTACTAGTACTTTTTTTAATTCTTCGGTCTGATTGTGTTCCAAACGACTTCTCTTTTAACAAAGAAAATCGTCCTCTTACTTTTTAAAATAATGACGAAAGGCTGTCATTATACAGAAGCCAATCTCTATTAAGATACTCTAAGCTTTTCCTCGCGATACTCATACAATAATTTTAGCCTATTCGATAGTCAAGGGCAGTTAAGCTTAAAAAGTCATGATAGCCTAGTAAATACATATTTATATATTTATTTTTGAAATTTACCATAATTAAATTTGAAAAAATGAAAGTACAAAAGCTGTGCACACCTTTTATGAATTTTGGCAAGACTTTTTAGAAATAGTTTTATTATTATTCTTATTCCTATTTGAAAATCAACTACATGTAGAGAACCTAGGTAGGCCTAATTTATTTATTACTTTATTTATGTGTTATTGAAATAAAAATAAACGTATTTTAATGTGTATACCACATAACGTCTTGTTACATTTACTAAATAACTTATTTTTATACGACAAATTGTAAGGACTTTTTAACATTATACGTGGTATTATTTTTTGATGCTTCATATTGTACCATATTTTTACAACTTCTTGTATAAAATCTAAAAAATAATAAACGATTTTGAATGGTTTCTATAACACAATGCAAGCTTGTACGTGGATTATTATACAGTTTTTGCTTTTTAATTAAATTCTCACTGTAAGGCTCATTTTTTAACTAAACATTGCTAACTATGTTAACAATGCACTTAAAATTTTCGCAAAGTTTTTTATTCAAAAACAAAATAACCTATCCCGTTAAGCAACAAATTAAAACGCAAGTCATTCACAGACTCCTGGTGGCTCAGCGGCAAGTCTGAGGACTTATAATGCTAAAAAATTAGGTTTCGATACCCGTAGTGGGCACAATACAAATAGTCTATTGTGTAGCTTTGCGCTTAACAACACCAACAACGATGTATGTATGTATATATATATGTATGTATATATATATATGTATGTATGTATGTATGTATGTATATATATATACTGTATGTATATATATATGTATACTGTATGTATATATACAGTACTGCGTAATATTATAAATGAAATTTTCCCACATGTATTGATATTTTATTGAGCGAAATTCCTTTCTGTGTGAAAGTACTTAATATTTAAAAAAATATTGGAACAATTTTAACTGTCTTATTGCCTTCATGAGGGCAGAGCTACAAAATGTATGTTTCCATTATTCGACCTCAAAATTCGTTTAATCAATTATTAAGGCTTATTGCACGGTTCATGGATGTCTAGGGATCACAGTGCTTTTTCTTAATTACTAGAAACGTCTATAAGAAACGCCTTCTTTAGCAACACAATGTAGAATGTAAAGTTTATTCAGTGACTTGGTTCGTTAATCTTGGTCTTTGTGGTAATAAATAAGATCAAAGTAATCTAACACTGTATAAACTGCATGGTCAAACTTGCCACAATTGAGTTCTGCTGTTTTTTATTTTTAAGTCGTTTGCCCTGTTTTGTTTGTTATAATCGTGCTGCGTTAGTTGTAATTGTAAGTTCAATTGGGAACAGGATATTTCAGAGGCATTTATGTTACACCCATTATGTTGGGATTTTACAATAAATAAAAAGTTAAAGATCATTATACAGATATTCACAACCACGATATCAATGCATATATATATATAATATATTTATTCATTTCATCACGGTACTGTATACAAACACAAACAATGGCAAATCACACTCATTTGTGTATAGTAAACGAACTATATCTAAACCGCTGTTAGGACAAATGCATGCGTGTAATATTAAACTACAGTGGCGTTAGAACTTAGTGTTCGGTAATATGTGATGTTTAAAAGTAAACGGTCCTACTAATTGATATATTAAAACAGCAACGCTTTTCTTATCAATAACTCTTTATGATTAAAAAACAAGTCTCTTACATTTTACTTTAATATCAGCACACTTATTACCATGTCTGCACACTTCCACCCCTCAAAGGATATTTTCGTAAAGTTTCCAATTTGAATTTTAATACAAAGGAAAAAGCAAGCGAGAACTATCTGACTTGTACATTTACTGAAATCTCTTTCTACCAGTAATATAGTACAAATATAGTATAAAAATATAATACTAACATAAAAACATTTTGTTTGCTGCATCTTGTTTGGTACAAAAATCATATAAAAGTATATGTTAGCCATATTTTTTGCAATAATATGTATGTATATATAATACTTTAATAATACTAAATCAGTCTAACTGAGAACACACAGGTTTCTTAAAAAAAATCTTGTGAGTCCAAAATTCAATTAGTATGTAGCTGTAAATTATTAATTTATTCGCTTCACTTTCCTGTCTGTACTTCCTTTACTGATGAAGAAACTAAAGAAATCAATATGTATTCTACTATTTTATAGCTACGTGCTAATCATTTAGTGTCAGACTGTTATTTTGATCATCAGTAAAGAAAGTACAGACAGGAAAGTTAAGCGAAGAAACTAAATAAATCAATATGTATCCTACTATTTTATTGCTACGTGCTAATCATTTATGTCAGACTGTTATTTTGATCGCTTAACTTTCCTGTCTGTACTTCCTTTACTGATCATCAAAATAACAGTCTAACACTAAATGATTAGCACGTAGCAATAAAATAGTAGAATACATATTGATTTCTTTAGTTTTTTCGCTTAACTTTCCTGTCTGTATTTCCTTTACTGATGATCAAAACCTGCTACTTTAATAACACTGTATAAAACATCTAAGACAAAAAGTTCACTATTTTCACTAGAATGCAAAGTTAATACTGTAAAATATTTTACATCATCATCATAATTCTAATTCTAAAATTAGTTTATAATGCGGCAAACGCTTTAATAAAAATTACCAATCATAAATTTGCAGGATTTAAAAGATAATTACATTTCAGTACAGGAAAACCAAATACAATATGTACAGTTTCGGAAGGAAGGAAAAATTGTAGCGTTTATTAGGCTGAATTAGGCTACACTAGAACAGGCCACTGGTTAATGAAAATGTCTTTTAAAGAGAATCAGCTGACAATATATTAACTTTAAATGAATGTTTAATTTCATTTTTTATTCCGAGAAAAAAAAAAGGAAACTTTAGACGAGAATCAAATTATTCAACGTGAAAATAGGAAGGCTATGCAGACCCTGAAAAATAAACTTACTACAGAAGTATTTAATTTAATTATTAGATATTTACTTTTTTGTATCTGAATTGGAAAAGGATATCATGTGTAAAAAAAATATATATATATTTTTATTGATAAACTTTGATAATATTCTTTAACATTGCCTTGGAATTTACTTTGCTATTTTGTGATGGTTAAATTATTTGTATTTCATTCATTTATTTTCATTTTTAAACAGCATAAATGTTATTTTCATTGATTAATTTATTATGATACCGTTGCTTTTTGCATCCAAGTGCTGCATAACTTGATAATTGATGCTAGACGTATATTGTGCAATTCTTTAAAATAAAAGTAGTGGAGTGAAAATAACTGTGTGAGTGCTTATATTTAAAGGAAAGTCGTAAATTACGTGTAATAGTAACTGAGAAGTGTTTATAATATGTTACATAATTCCACTTTTTCACTGTGCAGGAACCATAGTAATCTCCTCTAACTCGGAGGTGTTAAGTGTTAGAGTGTATTGGCTTAAATATATATATATATAATATAATATGAAACACATCATTGTAGTTAAGATCATGTACAAACACATTGTTTAGCTACATGCTTTTAAAATGTGTCGAATATTTATATTTTCTTTTTTTTATATAATATTCACCACCACAACAAATACATTATGCAAGATTACCATTCCTTAGGCACGCCCTCCAGCGGTTCAGCGCTAAGTGCGAAGGCTTATAACGTTAAAAACCGGTTTCGATGCTCGTACTGAGCACAGCACAGATAGATCATTATGTAGCTTTGTGCTTAACAACAAGCAAACAACTCTTGAAACACATCGGAAGAGTTTAAGCAATATGATACTGATATGCGATTATTAATATGCAATATATGAATAACCTTTATTTTAACATCAAACTAGTTGGGTAGCTTACAACAACGTTGATTCACTCTGTACGTCATTACATTCACAGAAAAAATAAATTCAGGAAATCAAACACCAAGTCATCCTTTAAGTGTCATTCGTTGGATTAAGGTTTTATTGGAGTTATTTTGCAAAATAAATGTTGATAGGTTTGCATATTTCATTGAAAAACTGATATTAAAAAGTCCTTTGGAGTCTAGTTTTAAATTAGAGAAATAATGTATATCTATATTAATAAACATGTATGAATTTCAAAGTACATAAGAGTGGTTGAAATAAAGGAGTTTAAATGAAACTTATTGTGCTATGTGACAGATAAAGCTGAAATTCCCAGAATAATAAAAAACTATTTTGAGGACTAGTGGCCTGATTTGGTTTTCGTTGACGGTTATCAAATATCAAAATATGAAGTACATTATGAGTCAATAATAAACTGATTTCAAATATGGACAGTATATATATTTATATGTGCCAGTGATTGTACCATAAACAAACACAAGTGAATGAACTGTTATGTGTAGATTATTTCCACATAATTGACAACATTGTATTACATTTTTGGTTGGTGCTTAATATCTTATAAAATCAGTTTGTTACTTGTCGTTCATTCTTTAAAAATTGACTGAGTACAGTGAAATAAATTACGTTTATAACTAGAAGCGTAGCCATGAGAGAGGCGGGGAGGGGGCGAATGGCCACCCCAATATTTTAAAATGTCTAAAAGGTCCACTATTTTCTAATTTTTAAATAAACACTTGACTCTTTTAAGTTTTGAACATTTTTATTTTACAAGTTTCTTTTAGGCTAAGGTAAATCACTTAATTTATTTATATTGAAGAAAGGGTCTCAATTTTCTGGGAAAAAGACCCCTCCCCCTCTCTGTAGTGCTGGCTGTATTATTGTGAAACTACCGTGAACTGAAATGAAAGTAGAATTGTATGTATTGTTTAAATAGGATATTAAGTTTTAAATAAGAAATTCTGAGACATAACCGGTGTGTTTAGTCGGTCATATACTGTACCGTGTGCTGATCAATCCAATTAATTCTGATAAGCACACCACGAGGAATATTGTACGTTATATGCATAACTACAAATAGAGACAGAAAGAACACTTAGAATACCACCACTATCCGCTGACTGGTCAGAGCTTTAACAAGAACAATTCTGTGATCAGCAGTTGAATCTGGGATGGATAGAAATGGGTTAAAAATGGCTCAGTTGTCCTTCGCGTGGACCAACTCGCTGAGAAAATCAATGGGTAGCGGGAATATGATGGTAGAATTTTTTTCGGCCGCGATGCTGTTCAAAGTAGACAGGTAACGAAGTTGTATAGCCGCCGGTGATTGGGAAATTATATCAGCTGCCTCTTTCAATGCTTGGGACGATTTATGCTCTCCTTCAGCAGCAATTACCTAGGTAAGAGTTTTGAAAGTTTCATATTACATGCACCTTAAATTAAGCTAATTATTAGTACTTGTAAGCCGAATATCTTAGTCACTTGTTTTGTTTATTTGCAGTTAAGCACAAAGCTACACAATGGGCTATCTGTGCGGTGCCCACCACGGTTTGTAGTGTTGTTAAGTCCGCAGATATATCGCTGAGCCACTGGGGTCATTTCAGTTGCAACTACTACAGAATTTATATATGAAATATAAAATAAACAAACAAGTGGTAGCAAGTTTTAGCGAAAGTCTAATACTTATGAGTACAACACTTATCAATTTATTCCTTTTATACAAGTATCTTTGTCTATTCCTCTCCTTAACAAGGATCCTCGGTGGATCAGTGATACACAATGACGGCTTATAACAATACAATTTGGGATATGTTCTCTGCGATGGGCACAGTGCATATTGTTCATTGTGTAGCTTAATAACGGTAACAATAAAAAAATGAGCTGTCAGAAGTTTATTTTTGGATATTAAAACAACAGTGCAATAAAATGATAACAAGAAATCAAATCATAGAAAATGTTTAGAATATTTTACCTTAGCACGTGCTTCACGGGCAGCTTCCGCTTCTGCAGCCATGGCACGTTGAAGTTGATGTGGTAAACGTACATCTTTACTATATTCAAAAGTTATATTTAAAAAATTGAATAAATACGAAACGTTTGGATTTTAAAAATTATTTTCACTTTTATAACAAAAAGTAGTTAGAGTGATAGAGAGAATGTTTATTTTTTGATATCATAGGTCTGAAAAACAACAAAAAAAACACCAAAATAAAATCAATAAAAGTTATGAACTAAAATTATACATATAAAAACACTCAAAGGTTTGGTCTGAATTTCGCGCAAAGCTACACGAGGGCTATCTGTGCTAGCCGTCCCTAATTTTACAGTGAAAGACAAGAGGGAAGTCAGCTAGTCATCACCACCCACCTACAACTCTACTCTTTTACCAACGCATAGTGGGATTGACTGTTACATTATAAAACCCCTGCGGCTGAAAGGGCGAGCATGCTTGGTGTGACGGGAATTCGAACCCCCGACCCTCAGATCGCGAGTCAAGCGTATTAATTTTTAGACGCTTTCCTTTGATTTATTTTTAAGTCAATTAGATTTTATCCAACAAATAATCGTTTTAGAGTCAACACGTAAAAATAACAAGCAATATAGTATTATAAAAACACAGTCACTTTAATGCTATTTATAATATTATTACAATTGTACTTTTGTAAATGTTCGATAGATGTCGCGATGACGGCACGATACAGTACCTGCTATTGTGCTTGAAAACTATATTTTCTTCTGTTATTTAGAAGATTTACATCTTTATCTGGTATTTTCTTCCATTAATATTCATGTATAATACTGATGAACTACAGTCACCTTTAACAAATGGCATTACCCATAGATAACGAAAAATTCTGGCTAATTTCTGGTCATAAAAAGTTTGGAAGCCTTGTAATTCACAAATGATGATATAAATCTTAAAATATCCCCCGCCTTTTCTCTCCTTTTCTTGCTTTATATGAATAGCTTACAAACTACTGATTACATTAATTGTTTATAGGCGATTAAATCAGCACTATAAAACAATAATGAATTAAATATCGCAATACCGTTACGGTCCTGGTTGTTAACTTATTGTCATAACGGATAATGGCTGTGGTAATAGCACCCAAATGCATTAGGGGTATCCCATCTATCAAACAAAATCCGATGTCAATCTAGTCAGCCGTCATGGAAAATTAAAAAAGAAAAAAATCAATCAAATAAGGGTACGAAGCTGAGTGCTTACACCCACGACGTCTCAGCTTCTATTGCTTTTCATTATCTATAGCCAGTTCTGGGAAGGCAATTACCCTTAAATTTCTTAAAGTAGTTCTATTTAATATCTTATAGTTCTATTATAGAACTTATAGGTTTTTTCTTTTTTATTTTTCCATGACGGCTGACTAGATTGACAGCGACGTTTGGATATTGTCTGATAGATAGCATATCCCCAATGCATTTGGGTGCTATTACCACAGACATTATCCGTTATGCAAAAAAAGTTGACAACCAGGATAGATAACGGTATTGCGATATATATATAAATTTTACGATAAATAAATCAACACAAGTAAAGCAAAGAAAAATGGATGAACAACAGTTTAATTGAAGTAATAAAAACGTTTCAGTTGAACATAATTGTTATTATTTCGAATTAAAAACGTTTCAGTTGAACATAATTGTTCTTATTTCGAATTATATTGATTACAATTAACAATATCAATTTGTAGTTAATATTGCTTACAGTTTTCTTGCTTTTATCAGTCAACTAAAAAGCAAATATAAAAAGCATTCACAAATAAAATATTTTTGTGAATCTTTCAATTAATTCTATTATTACATTTAACGATTTTATCTTTTTAAATTAAAAAAAATAACAACAGTTTGACCATCACTTTCTCAGTATTCTACAATTTTAAAGATACTATACCAGAGTGGTCGTAAAAAACAACAACTAAAAACTATTAAACTTATTTAAAACTTCCCTTGATTTAAGAAGAAGGTGTTATGCAAATATTAACTCTGAATAAGTATCGACAAGATAATCACGCTTACAATGTTATCTGTAAAAACAAAATAAGCTTCCTGCTGATTTTAGTTTCGTATTTCACTCATAATTAGCTTATTTGTTCAGCATAACTTTCCAGAATAGAAAAAATATATACAGTTACTTTAAACTGAAAAGAAACATTGTTACATTAGGCTAACTTACACTTCTACACGTTCTACCTTAATACCCCAGGCGTCGGTGCATTCGTCAAGAACAGTCTAAATTGGAGGGAGAAACGGAAAAATTGTGTTTATTAAACAAGATGATTTAGAAGTCGAAGAATAGTTCTATATAAATGAAGGAAAATAAGCTTTAAGCAGAGTTTACTTATCAATAACCAAGATTTATCTGTTGCTTACAAATGTATATTTTTACTTTAAGCCACAACTTAGCATTTGCAAGTAAGAAAGCTTAAGTTGATTGCTAATTACACTACATCTATCAGTAATTTTATTTATTTTATATCATTATTATCAATCCCATTATTAATTGGTAAAAGAGTAGCCCAAGAGTTGGCGGTTGGTGGTGTTTACTAGCTGCCTTCCCTCTAGTCTATCTCTTCTGAATTAGGGACGGTTGGCGCAGATAGCCCCCAGTATCGCTTTGCGCGAAATTTAAAACAAATGAAACCAAACTGGGTTATAAGAGAAAAACAATTTATTCTGTCACCTGTTGAAATAATCAGAAATCAAGTTCATCTTCTGTTATCACACACAAAAAAGAAAATCAACACAATTTTTTAAGTCGGCTAAGCGGTATACATGTGTTGTAGTGTTGTTTTTTTATATTGGAGAGTGTGAACGATTACATTATACAGTCAAAAAAAGGTATTGGAAAGGTATTTAAGAAAATAGCAATTTTATATGTTATTTCAAATATATATATATATATTCTATAGTGTTTACGCTAGATCTATGCTAAGTCCATTCTGTTACGTGCAGACGAAGTCCGAAAGGACTCCTCTATGCCAAAAGAGTTCTCCGAACTGTAAATATTGAAAACGCCGCTGTACAGAGCAGTTCCGCTTTAAATTAAAAGGTCTTACTCCTGTTTTTCAAAAAATTTACTGTTAAAAATGACTTTAAGCACGAATACAAACTGTTTAAATTCTAAAGACAAATTTCCAACAGATAAAAATATTTCTCATTAGATTAAGTTTTCTTTGTTTTCAGAAGTTCGTGCAAAGCCACTCAAGGTGCTAGCCATCCCTAGTTTTGAACTGACACACTTGAAGAAAGGCAACTAATCAACAGTACCCACCACAATCTTTTGGGCTACTCAATCTGACTCGCTAACTATTGGACTACGCTCGACTCCGATCAATTAAAGGTTATATATTTTGTGTATACATGATGCAATAATTACAAGTTACATAATTATGGATACATGATGCAATAATTACAAGTTAATGTAGGATACGTATGGTATTCACTATATTATATTTAAGCAACCTTATTTTATAATAATACTTTGATAAATTTCATTATAGATGTGTCGATAGCAGCACCAATATATATATAAATTCTGTTTTTGCTGCTACATCCATTAAGTCTTTTGAAATGTATGCCTTCCTGATTAGATTGTAGCATCCTCTATAGTTTACTATTCAAAAATTAAAAATATGCGAATAGCTAGAAAATCCAATTAACAACAATATATGTATAGATAGATAGATAAGTAAATTTAACAGACTGAGAACTGACTGAACATGTAAGAAACAATAAAATAACTGAGGCAGTGGGAGAAAAAGAGGGAAGTGAAAAGCCATCAAACAGGGGAAAAAACGTTTAGGGTGGTTAAGTAACATGTCGGTTTACCGAAAATCAGACAAAAAGATTAACACGATATTCTCAACAATATCCAAACATCTCTTAGAACTTCCTTACAGTTATCATTTATTGTCTGTAGTAGACTAAGATATAAGCTAGATTATAATTTTACTTAAACAGCCCATTCAAAATTAACTAATTAAAAATATAGTTTATAATTTCAAAAATAAATAAGTTTGTTTGATTAAATTTCGCAAAACGTTAATCGATAGCTGTTACGCTAACCGTCGCTAATTTTCAAATGATAGACTAGAGGGAAGGCAGCCAGTCAACACCACCCACCACCAACTCTTGGGCTTCTCTTTACCAACGAATAGTGGGATCGATCTTCACATTATAATGCACCTATGGCTGAAAGGGGAAGCAGGTTCAGTGACTGGATTCGAACCTGCGATCCGCATCTTGGCAGTCGACCACCCTAACTGCCAGGCCCAAAACATATAAGATACAAAATATTATCTATAACATTTAGTTTAACTTTCAAATTGCCGGAGGCTTTTAAAGATATCTCATTAATAAAACAAAAACGTTACGATACTTAGACGTATTCAAATAGTGACGTATTGCATAAATGAGCCAATATAAGGATTAATGAAATGCGTGTTAAAGATCTGAATTATGAAATTTTTGAATGCCATTAGTATTCTCAATTTCACTGATTAAAGAACAACGTGTATCAGTTTCACTTCACCACGTTACGTCACAAACGCTAATAATTTGAAGCGTTAGGTGTTTTAAATATAATCATAATTCCAAATTTGTAATGTGCACAAAACTTAACGAATTAATAAAATTCAACATTTTGCTCAAGACATGTGTTTTAGTTTAATAGCAAATATTCGATATATGGAAAAGGATAATTATAATAATATTTGGTGTTCTTGCATTGTTTTAAAATGCCACTAACGTTAATATATTTTAAACATAACAATTATTAATAAAATTCAAATTTTCCAAGCCATAATATGTCTTTCATTCAATAAAGTTTGATAAGAATTACGTATATTGTAAAGTTATTTATTTCAATAATGAGTTAATTTATACAAGTTGAGCCATTTTGTTTTTGCTCTATTTTATAAACTGATTTTTCTCTGGTGATATACACGTGACTTGCTTTATCAGAAAGTTCCTCCATGTGTTTATTTCATCCTTTGTACGTATTTCAATAATAATATAATCAGGTGCTGCAACATCTTAAGGTGCTTTACTTTTTCATTGTTTGTGAATATTACGAAATACGTTTAATATAATTAGGTGCTGCAACATCTTAAGGTGCTCTAGTTCTTCATTGTTTATGAATATTACGCAATGCGTCTACGCTATCTAAAACATCTGTTTTTGTTTTCTTTTATGACTTAACCATAAATCTACAATAAAAAGCAAGTACCGTGTTATCTGGTTATATTAACAATAAGCAATTTTAAAATATGTGATAATGCACTTCAATAAAAAGGAACTTTACAATATATTTTCAGTCATTTTCACTTACTTTAAAGCTAGAAAGACTATAAATTTGTTGTTGGTTCTATTTTCTAAACATCTTATGTTCGTACCCAATATTAACCTCCGATCAGAGCAAGCTACGTACTTAAATCAAAATTAAACATCAACCTAGTTATGGGTATAGCTAATTATATATACTTTTCATTGTTCTAGCTTATAACAATTAGAATGCATTGTTTCATCAGTTAGGTACTCTCGACGTTAAAGATATTTTTGACCGTAATTCCAATAATATCTCGTGAAGTTCGTCCAGCTTATGAGACTTAGACTAAGTCCATATGTTAAGCTAACAATTCAAAACAATCTCGATAATAAAATTAAAATAATAATAAAATTAATATTTTAAACTAATACGAACCCTAGCTGTCGAAGATTTAGTAACACCAGATAACATCAATATACGGTTTACCTACGATGTTTACTTCTAGAACAGTAGTTCAAGCCAACATCTAGTGTTTCTGTGTTCCACACGTAAGGTATACTTTATTATTTGTTTATTGTTCTTTCATTAACAGTATAGGTTATTCTATTTACTATATCGGAAGTCATTACTTTTCCATTTTTATTTATTGTTTTTTTTTTGGTATTTTTTTTCCCATAGTCCTTGCGGACCGTTGAGCCGATGGCAGAGCAAGATCTGCCATCGTTTCTAAAGCTGTTTCTTACGTCAAGGATGAAACCCACTTGACAGCCTTCCGTCATGGATAGGACGAGCATGTTTGGTAGGACTGGGATTCGAACCCGCGACCCTCAGATTGCGAGTCGAGCGCCTTATCCACCAAGCCATGCCGGGCCCTATTGTTTATTATTTTATATTTATTTATTGTAAGCATTGTTAGCTTAATACAAGGTTTTAGGACTAACCAAAATCTCTTAAGCTTCCCGAAACTCGTGAGATATTATTGGGATAACGGCCAGAAATGTCGTTTTCAGTATGAGTATCCAACTGAAGAAAGAATGCATTCTTAATTTGTACAAGTAGAAACATAAGAAAAGTATATCTAGTTAGCTATAATGATTGCCAGGTTGTTTCATATTTTCGCTATAAGTACATAGCTTGCTCTGATCGGAAGTTAATATTAATAATATTGACAGTGTACGTTATGTTTTCTAAATATTTTTAGGGTGCAGCTAGAATTCTATGAAACAACAACAACAAACAAACAGCTTAAGATTAGAAATTTTGAAGAGATCGAGTACCTGCATGGAGTTGGAAATATGCTCACGTTCAGCAAGAATCTGGTGAAGATCACGTGTTCCCAAAATGTTCCGGAGAGTGGTCTGGGCCAGTAGTCGAGTGCTTTGATGAGCATTCTCCACCTTAGCTATGGACACTGGAGCGTTTTGAACCCGGTAGTAAACAACAGCATCAACCGAGATAGTGACCGAGTCTTTCGTCAACACCTAAATTAATTCAGTTATTATTATATCATTGAAAAATAGTATTCAATCACGGCCAACAATCATTGTTACTGTAAGTTACAGACTGTAAAATAAATGTTTATAATTTAACATTACTTGTATAATAACAAAACAAAGTATTACGCATATCAATATTCCTAAAAATGACACATAGATTAACATAATATCCTACTGTAATATAATATACATCTTATATAAATTGTATGTATTATCCATCATTTCAGAAAACTCTTCATTGTAAGCTACAGTTAACAGAGATATATAGTGTTTAATCTATTAATTTCGTTAGCTTTTCCAGCATCTTTGATTTCCCACTGTTTGTAACATAAGTGGCTGGTCGTGGCTTAATAATTGGACTATGAATTCGAGGATTAATTGTTCGTAATCCATTGCCACACAAACACGTTCCGCGTTATAATCCTGCTAATCGAGCTGAAGTAGGTGTTGCTGACTAGCTGTATTCTTTCTATTTTCAATATGCTCAATCATCCACTCGATCATTTTTTTTATTCTAGACATAAATACTCTTTTTTAAAATAAGTTTATTATATTTTTTCACACATCTGCCGTGTGGCTGTGTTTACCGAGTTAATGCCCGTGGGGCTGTGTTTACCGAGTTAATATTATGGTAAATTGTCGTCGATCTATTTACATATTATTCTATCAGCAAATAAATTAAGAAATTCACTGAATATCGACCAGGAATTGTCAATATTGATATCCATCAATCATGGAACATCTTATTTTCAATGTTCATGATTTGTCAGATGTTTCAATTTCTGAAGATATTTAAATTAACCATGAATTTTTATTCGCTCACAAGACAAGCCGTGAAGGTAACTGTTTGCATCACATTACATCAGTCACTTTAATACATATATATATATCATACATATATATTTTACTGACAGTAGCTCGCTTATTTTACTGTTATATTTGTAAGCTCGTACTTTCTTATAATAAATATATACTATACTAAACAGTCACTTGCAAAATACAGTGCAAGTTTTGTAAATATACAGTTTAGATTTTTATATTTTATCTTTACTCAGGGCGGTTCACTAGTTAAATGAGTCACTTTCATTTCTTTATATACAAAGTTTGATTCTCAACTTGATGAAAGCCATTTTAACCCTCCCCAACTTATTCTCACATTAACACGCCATTTGGCATATAAATATATGTAAATCAAATAAATGCTTATTTCAAAGTTATTTTGTTTCGTGACTTATTTTTCTATTTGTAGGTGATCAGTCGTTCTCAAAAAACTTTGGCATGCTTTATGTAGCAGAACTATTTTTGAACGCACAAGTATGTGCATCACGTAAAGCTGTTGAATCTGGTGATGGTTTTGGTACACTGTTGAATCTGTAATGGTTTTGGTACACTGTTGAATCTGTAATGGTTTTGGTACACTGTTGAATCTGGTAATAGTTTTGGTATACTGTTGAATATGGTGATAATTTTGGTACACTGTTGAATCTGGTGATGGTTTTGGTACACTGTTGGATCTGGTGATGATTTTGGTATACTGTTAAATCTGGTGATGGTTTTGGTACACTGTTGAATCTGTGATGGTTTTGGTACACTGTTGAATCTGTAATGGTTTTGGTATACTGTTGAATATGGTGATAATTTTGGTACACTGTTGAATCTGATGACGGTATTGGTATACTGTTGAATCTGATGACGGTATTGGTACACTGTTGAATTCTGTCATGATTTTGGTGAAGCAGGGCTAGTGTTTTTACGAAAGAAAAAGATATTATAATGTACGTATAATCAAGGATTGTGCCAAAAGAAATGTGAATTTCAGAATGAAATACATCTATTATTACAGATTTATCAGTTTGATACTTTAAAGTATTCTTGAAGATATGAAACTTTTTTCAAAGGCATTACTATACTCGAACTATAGGGTATGTTGATTCTGACGCTTATTGTTCTTGGCACTCTGTTCAAATTTGTTTACTCTTTCTGGAAGTTTTGGAAAATAGTGTTTAAAAGAAACTTGTCTGTCACATATATGTTTCTATACAGGAATATTTCTACATTCTAGAGGTGTTTATAAGAAATCCGATCAAATGCTTCTTGAATATTTTTTTCTTCTTTTCCTTAGAGGACGACTTTTACAAAAAATATAAATATTATAACGTTGGCCAAAAATCCAATGACAAAATTTTGCATCCAGATTTAATTCGCTATTTTTGAGGTGGGAACTCAACTCTTTCTAGTGATATTCTCTGTTTTCAGCGCATCTTGGTTCAACTGCAGCACTTCTATTTATGTCCTTATGTTGGGAATAAATATCACTTTGTACTTGGGTTAATACATTGTGTCAATTTTCTTTTTCTTCTTCTTTCAATTAAGTCGAAGCCAGAAACTCAAATTTGCTCCGTTATACATTTTCTGTCGAACCTGCTATTATTTGCGGTTACTGGTCAAATTTGAATAGCAAATCGGATTAACATTAGAAAGGCAATGCGGATATGGCCCGTTGAACGCTGCTGTGGCCAGCCACTCTGTGGTACTCGATACTATAATTCCACTAGAGCATCAAGCTTGACCTACATTAGCAGTCATATACCTGAGTAGGGAAGCACATTAAGCTAATATAATAGTAGGTAAGCAAACAACGATTTATAAGCATAATGAAAAGTTTTATTTATGGTGGAACATATTGCATGTTTCGGCAGAACATTGTTGTATGTTTCAACATAAAACAAAATTCTTCTTTATTCTTATAAATCGTTATCATCTACCTGTATTTAATATTGACTTACAGCGTTATTTGCTTATATTGCAAATAACCTTACGTTGGAAAAGCTGGCCGTTTATTTGCCAAACGTACTTGTATGATCATAAATAATCAATTAGATAAAACAGTTACACTGTATTAGAATATTTCAAAATTGTCTGGTTAAATAACGCATCCAAAGTGAAAAGTAAGAAAGGAAATGGAAATTTCTACCTGAACGGCTTCTTTATGCACATATTGGCTAAATGACCAGGGCATAGATCCCAAGGATTCAGTTGTAGCCGCTCTAATTTTGAAATTATGACCAGAGGGAATACAGTCAGCTAGCAACAACTTCCATGAAAAGAGTTTTATCCGTTTTTATTTGCATCAAATAACAGGATTGACTGTCACTTTTATGACTGAGAGCGTGGAGCTTGTTCGCCAGCATCTCACTGAAAACCTTGTTCTTTTCGAAACACAGTCCAATACGTTAACTACTAGGTCACGAAAAGCCCAAAAACAAAAAATAACAAACGAAAATTCAACTGGTATGGTATGAACAACAGATTTGGATGTTTTTCTTCTAACTCTTGTTTTCATTTATTTTTCATAGCAAACTGGTAAACCGATGGAACGATTGTCATCAAACTTGCAATGTACACTTAGGCCCAAAAAAGTGACACGGAGGAGTAGTCGTTCGATTTTGACCTACTTTTTACTCTATTCCTTTTTCGTGCGTTAATAATTTAATAAACGAGCTGCAAACTTGATTGATTTACTTTTTAGCCTTCGCCAAGTTAATTATTTCATTTCCCCATATTTCAATCACTAATGGTACAACAATATATAAATAATATATATATATATATTGTGTTGAGCATCCCTTTAAATACCGCATTTTATTTTTTTCGTTATCTAAAAGAGTTACTCAGATATTTTTCTATTGTTTGATATGGCCTTAATTATTATTATTTCACCAAATTACAATGTTTTTCGTTCTTCGTTTATTAATTATTCTTAGTATAATTAATGTACATTATCATATCCATAATTTCCGACCAATCAGGTTTTTTTTAAATGTGTATACAACAGCTATGTTATAACACTTTCGTGTTATCAGTATACTATTGAGGAAGGACATTCAACTTTCTTCCTTCTCATATATATACATGTATATTGTGTAGTTGTTAAAAATCAACAAAACAAATATTCCTCATTATTATAGGTCAATGCGTTTTCATTTTTCCAAATATGAATATATTTTAAACAAACTGACCAGAGAAATGTTCGTTAATTGATCATTTCAGACGTTTGTTCTTTTTTTTTGTGGGCCTCTTTCTTTAAAACGTTTCAAGTATTTTCGATAGAGAATCTAACTTGCATACCAATGAATTTGGTGAAAAGGAACTCCAGCCCCAATTACACTGCAACTATCACGAGCTCTGTATCATAACTGTTGCCCAAGTAATGTCTGTTTAAGGTCGTAGCTCTCATTGTTTTTCTAAGCATTAAAAAGTATGAGAGATTTAGCTCTTATTTATGCATTTAAATAATGGCTCTTCATTACCTTAACTTTTAGATTTTAAAGTAGCTATTGCTACTTTATCTTAAAACATGTTTATCACTATGTAGTTGTATACATGAAATCTTACAGCAATCTAGTAAGTCACGTAAAGGCTCTACTTGGCTCTATAAAATTCAATTATAGATCTGCCTGAAGCTTCCTTCAATGTCACGCACTTAACTCTGCCCATTACAAATAGCTATATAATTTTATTCAGAGGATTATCAAAACGATTTTGGAGCTTCATCATGTCATTACAGTCCATGTCGCCACGTCCGTTCATACTCTATGTGACGATCGTGGATCTTGATAATATCCTTGTAGCGTAGTTTCTATTGCAAAAGGATCTAGCGTAAGACTGCCATATCCAAAGCACACTACTCCTTCTGAGTATTTTCCATAATCCATCACATGTACGAAGACGACAGTTTCCCAATTCCCCTTTCAACAGGCTGATCGCACAGAAATCCATAGGCGCTGTGTCCCGTGACTTAACGAGTATGTATTCACATGAAATAGCGTATATTTGCGTTCTATATCTCCGATCTAAACATATAATTATTATCTGAGTGTACGAATATTTTACGTTGGAAAGGGCTGTAACATACGCTTCCCAAAAGCGATATTTTCTGTGAAATCACACAACCCACGTAACGTAAAATAATGTTAAAATGTAATTCTGACACCTTTCTTTCCACCGCGACATTATATCGACTACAATTGTCAAGTAGCATACTGATTTGCACATTAAAAATAATTTTAATATAACATACTCAACTCCCTGTACAATATAACTTTGCAATTCATTAATCAATATGGCTACACATAATATCTTGGGCACTGGTTATCTCAGTCTTAGATCGGTTAATTTATATTCAGGTAAGTCCTGTTGTAAAACAGTTTTAGTTAGCTGTTTCATGCCTTCGACGATAAAAAAGAGGCTAAAACCACTATAAAAGAGAAATAATTATCTGGTAAACCTTTCAGCAAATGACTCTGATAAGACCTGATAAAAGTCGTTTGGTCATAGCGTTGAACTGATAATTATTTTTAATATTTCACTTTATTTTCCGATCTTATCATGCGGTAGACGCATTCTTTTACTATTCGTGTTGCGTTTTTTATCCCAGTGCCTTGTTCGATCCGTTTGCATCACGTACCGACCAGGACTTTCCAATATTGACTTCGGACAACCATGAAACCTCTTTTTCTCAACGTTGACGATTTTTCAGATGTATAAAAATCTTGTAGAGCTTCAAATTAACCACGGATTTTTCTTCACAAGACTTGTTTCTTATTCGTGTTGCGTTTTTTATCCCAATGCCTTGTTCGATCTGTTTGCTCCAAACACCGCTCTTTTAGTCAAGTACTATGCCGTTGTAGTGAAGAATTAAACAAAATGGTTAAGGTGAAAACGGGACAATTCTTTGTCACACAATGTTGGATTGGTGGTGAAAACAATGTTGCACAAGAACAGTAATACCGTTAAGGTAGATTCTGCCCTTTTCTCAGTCACCTGTTGTTGGCACTTTCACAGTCACCAAGCAAATCAACAATATAAGTCGTCGACATTTCTGGGTTGAAATGTGAAATTTTCTAACAACATGACTGTTCAGTTACGGTAATTACATGATATATTTAAGATTTTTGTTAATATTTTATTCTACGTAGTTATTATAACACTAAAACCGAGTTTCGATACCCGTCATAAACATAGCACAGATAGCCCACTTTGTAGCTTTGTTCGTAACAAGAAACAAACAAACCTACCTAATTCAAGTAGATATTTAATCTTAATTCGCCATGTTGACATGATTTCCTGAGCTTGCAGACTGTGTACGTTCCCTAAGTTAATTATCTTGTTCATGTTGTGCGTGATGCACGTTTAGGTCATGTTTTATTTGTTTCGTATACTGCTAATGCATTAAGAAAGGTTAAGTGTAACAATATTTAGCGTGGCATGAGGCTTTTCATTGATCTACGTTTCGCTATCAGTATTAAAGCGAGATTGAAAAACGTGTAAACATTTGGTATTTGTAACCTGAAAGACACTTAATGCAATACCTCATATAGAGGTAGGACACGAGCATAACTACACTTAATTTAAAACTGCTCATTGGATGGAAGACAGACAAACAGCAGGACATATCGCATACGCGGCTACTCTTAACCGAATAGTGGAGTTGACTGTTACTTTAATATCGCGCCAACAACTGAATGTACGGAGCATTTTAGCGGCATATCGCAAACTCGAACCTTGGACCTATTAACACGCTAAACCCTAAGTCACGCTCATTTAGCTATTATATAAGAGCGTATTATATAATACAAGCATTGTCACTCATTACACTGGCCAACAAGTCATCAGATATAATTATAGGTGGGCTAGATAGCTCGTGGGACGTTGATTTCAAGTATGTTTTTGGTTTTCGTCTAGCACATCACGTTTTTGTGATGAGATCGATCAAATTTGAAAGGTTATTGCCTTAATTACAATTTAAGTTGTTGTACATTTCTTTTTTTTTCATAAGTGCGTACTGTTTAAATTCAATCAAGTGTATGGTGTGTATAACGTTTATGGGAATGATACTGAAAAATAAATAAAGTTGTAATGTTAACTAGCCTAATGTGTGATTATTACCTAAATTGTGCTGAAATTAACACCAGTCATGTTTCAATAACTAGACTTATTAGAAGAAACCAGAAAAAAGATTTGGAATCAGCGCGCAAAACTAGTCTAGAAAAGTGTATTTATATCTTTGATGAGAAAAAAAAAGTTAGATTTTGTCGACCAGTGTTATGAGTAAGTTTCAACAGTTTTGTTTACTCTCCTTATTCCCTAATTCCTGCACTATACTTGGTGAGAAGTCTTTCTGGTTTTGTAGCTTAGTTGCTCAAAACGCGAGGAGATGAAGAGATGTATCGAGTTTTATCTTTGAAAGATTACTTTATAAAATAAAACATATTGCTAACTAGATAGTGAATTGACCGGAATTCTGTAGTTCTTACTAAATATCTAAATTATAATTGAAAATAATACATGAAACGTTTGTGTAAAGTGTCAGCGTTAAAGTGTTGTACATATATAAAGTGGTTTATAGACGTTTGCGTTAAATGCTTCAGTATTACAGATAAAATGACATAGAAATGTCTCTGTAAAGTCGCGATTTTAGATTATTATATAAATAAAGTGACATAGCAACTGTTGTGGTTACAGTTTCAATGTTATAGGTAAAGTGGCATAGAAACGTTTCTGTAAAGTCGCGATTTTAGATTATTGTATAGATAAAGTGACCTAGAAATACTTGTGTAAACAGTCTCAATGTTATAGGTAAAGTGGCATAGAAACGTTTCTGTAAAGTCGCAATTGTAGATTATTGTATAGATAAAGTGACCTAGAAATACTTGTGTAAACAGTCTCGATGTTACAGAGAACGTGACATAAAAATGTTTGAGTAAAGTCTTAGAGTTAGATTATTAAATATATAAAATGGCATGGAAAGTTTGAAAGTTCAGGTTTTTGATAAGCCTAATATATCGCTTCAAAATCTCAGTAAAAAACGATGACACAAACATTTCAAATACAAACTTTCAACATTTCAATTGATCATACTGTCAGTCACTCTATAATGTCATATTTGCTGTTGTGTAACATTGACTATGTTTTAGCATCTGTATTAAAAGCATTTGTGGTTTATATAGCGATAGTGTGTCGCCATAGAAACCTCCTAAACTTACCTCCTGGGGAGGAATATCAAAGGTTATGGTACGTAAATCCACTTTTGTGTAGTTCTCGATACACGGCAAGATGAAAAAGATGCCTAAAAAATAAAGACGTCACCAGGTAGACCATAAACATTTGGAAAAAGCATAAAAACACAAAGTTAATTTTATTCAAAAACCGAGCACTCAAATCAAAGGTAATCTAAGGAAGATATATTCTGAAAACTTCAACAACGGAAGCACATCTACAGGTATCAATGTGGTCGATGCAATAGCACTTACATAGGCGGAAGGGGAAGCAACATAAGCATTAGGATCAAAGAACATACCAAAACGTGAACTAAAGCCTAATTTAAATAAAAACACAGGGATCACCCTATATGTTTTCTAAATTGAAACAAAGGCTCGCGCTGTATTTCTTTACCATTTCAAACAATAGTCGACAGTTACCTGGTGATAGCCACACGAGTGGTCGAAACGTTGTAATTAAGTTGAATAGAAATAAACAGTCCACTCAAAAGCTATATCTCTGGACTTTTAGTTAACTGTTACCAAGGTCTTAAAATTAACTGTAACATAACTGACTGTTACCAAATTGTCACAACAACTCATAACATTAATCTCTACCACATAAAACCGACTCTTACCATGTTCTTAAAATTATTTGTAATACTTATCGCCGCGACATTATGTTATTTCATAAAAAGTAGGTTTCTACTGTGTAATTTCCTCAATTATGACCAAATAAGACAAATTCCAAAAGCTACGTGTGAAACAGATCTAAATTTACATCAATCTGGTATCTATTTGAGTTTGATAACTAAGTGATGTTTCGTTAAATACAAAATGAAGAATATAGTTTTCAAATTTAGTTATGATTACATTTACAATGGAATAGTTTGGTAGGAAAAATATTAATGCTTAATTTATTGGTTCATATCGCATTATTGTTTTAATCAAAATCTCTAATAACTACGATAAACTTAGTATCTACCTGCGTTAGCAATATGAGCAACATTCTGAACTGTAGCCTTTTATATGTTTGCTGTTCATTACATTAATGTCAAGCAGATAAAACATTTGTACAGGGGTACTTTCTGCGCACGTCTTCTTTGTAATCATTCCCAGTCCAAAGCATCACAATGTTTTAAGCTACTGAAGCCGATTGCTCTTAAGGACTCACATTCGTTTGAACTATACATTATTTCTATTATCGACCATTTAATTTCACAAGTCCTTGTTAGTCTTAAACTTTTCAAACTCGAACTATTACGTGTTATATAGAAGTAAACACTAACTGAAAGATGTACTAAAAATTATCCAGAAATCCATAGAATTAAATCAAAGAAATAGTACACACTCAATGAGTGCACATCTGGTTCAATGAGACGTTAAAATACATTCAGAAGTGTGCACATATAGCTTAAAAATACAGCTTTCTTTCAAAAACGAAAATATAAAATATTTATAATCGTACACAATTAACTCGAGATATTACGAAATATCAAAAGTGTGTATACACAGTCTAGAGAAACTGCAAATATCTATACGAGAACAATTTACTTAAAAAACAACATTGAAAATATCTATAACGTGTACAAAAGACATAAAGACACGTTTGTGGATACTTTGTAATTTCTGTTTGTGTGAATTGTGCACAGTTATGAATATTTTGTAAATACTGTTTGTATGTATTATGTACGTTTGTGGATATTTTTATTTCTATTTTGTGAATTCTTTACAGATATGAATATATTGTAATTTCTGTTTGTGTGAATTTGAATATATTGTAATTTCTGTTTGTGTGAATTGTGCACTAAAGTGTGCACATCTATTCAAGTAGAAATGAGAAAATATCGACCCAGAAGCGTGTACCTTTACTTTAAACATTCTTAAAATAGTGAATATCTGGCTCCAAGAGAAACTAGTAGAGTGCACAGTTAACTCAAAGAGACACTGCAAAATATTCAGGAAAGAGCACAGTTAGCCCAAGGAAACTACAAAATAGCTGGAAGCTTGCAGTGTACTTTAAAAAATAACGAAAACACATCCTGAACTGGCACATTTACTTTAGCAGCACAATATAAAATATTTAGAAGGGCACAAATGTAGCTCAAATAAAAGGTACTAATTATAGAAAATCACGGATGTTTACTTTAAAAATACCATAAAAAAGACCCATAATAATGCACATGTAACTCAAAGAGACAACGAAAAATTACTAGTGCGTGAACAATTACCTCAAAGATACAAATGATCCTGACATGTTCACATCTAGCTTAAAAACACTATTATATATCTAGCAATACGCATATTTACTTTAAGCGTGAGTGATTAGTAGACAAATAGACTACAAAGTGCGCACAGACGTGCGTTTTTTATGGCAGCAGTAGAAAGAAACAAAAAGTCACAGAAACTTATTCATTAAATTCTGTGTACTTATACAAGTTTTACTTACGTAAAGTGAATGTCTGTTTTTGTGAGACCATCTCTGCTTGAAAGAGAATCGATCTCGTGAACAAACTTAATTTCGTTCGTAGATTTATGACCCCGAAAAACTACATTATATATTCAATTTGACACTTATTTTAGCCTTTAGAACATTAAAACAGCTATATGTGGGACATTAACACAACTATTTTTGAAAGATTGAAACAATTATATTTGAGATTTTGAAACAATTATACTCGAGACATTAAAATAACTATATTTGAAAGATTAAAACAATTGTGTTTGAGCTTTTAAAGCAACTGTATTTGAGGTTTTAAACAACTATATCTGAGACATTAAAACGATTATTTTTGAAAGACTGAAATAATTATGTTTGAAACTTTAAAACAACTATACATGAGATTTTTCAACCATATTTGAGACACTAAAACAAATGTTTTTGAAAGATTGAAATAATTATGTTTGAAACTTTAAAACAACTATACATGAGATTTTTCAACCATATTTGAGACACTAAAACAAATGTTTTGAAAGATTAAAACAATTATGTTTGAGATTTTAAAACAACTATACTTGAAGTTTTAAACAACTATATTTGAGACTTTGAAACAATTATATCTGAGATTTGAAAATGTCATTTCTCTTACTATTCGTAGGAATAAAAATCATATACTATGACTCTTGAAATCTTAGTGTGAACATTTAAAAGTTTTAATTTAGAATTATTTACCTGCTCAAACCTTAAAATTATAAAAATTAAGAAAATCCTGAATGAAATTTCAGGTAATTTTATTTTCTGGTATTTTAAATTAATTGAAGATTATTTAAAATTCCAAAACAAGGACTGAAAATAATTTTTTTTTAGCTAAACTCACCAGGGCCTTTTGATCCGCCTTTAACCAAGCGTCCCAAACGAAATACCACAGCTCGCTCGTACTCTTGAACCACCTAACAGGGATTCAGAGTAGTAAAATATTGAACATGACACCGACAGAAAAATAAACGTCTACAACGCTAGTAATAGACGGATGTAATCTTAAATCTTGTTTTACTGCTAATTAATCATCACAATTTTTGGAAAAAGAACCACAATATGAAATTAAAATTGTATTTTTAAAACGTTTCGAACCTTTGATCAGCAAAAAGTGTTTAGGAAGGATTTTAAAAGCATCAGTTAAATAAGCCACACGAACCTTAGAATAAACGACATAATAAGAAACAAAAAATAATGCTTATGTCTTTAACTTTACTAATTAGAAGCTTCTTCTAACAGAATATAATTCATACGTGTAAAGTTTTGACCTATTTATAATTTTCTGAAAGAAATAACCGATGGCGGAAAACTACCGAACGATGAGCAGCGGGAACGTATTGATAAGACCGGGCCCCCCAGTAGCACAGCGATATGTCTGCGGACTTACAACGCTAAAATCCGGGTTTCGATACCCGTGGTGGGCAGAGCACAGATAACCCATTGTGTAGCTTTGTGCTTAACTTCAAACAAACACATTGAACAGATAGTCATGGGTACATTTAACATAAAAAATATACTTATTTAATTTCAATTATGACAAGTTTTAAAACTGTTACCGTAATTATTCATCAGTTTCAATGAGATCTAAAAGATGTTAGTTATAGTCAACTGAACCTGTCATCTTCTTGAAACCTAAAATGCTTTGGTCTAATCAATGTGAGAATATAACAGCTGAGTCACGAATTACAAACTTTTACAAATATAATATGTTGTAATCTCATTTTTTTCTAAGGTCATATTGACCTTATTGATGATATAGATTTGAAAACAAACCATGGCGTGGAAATGTTCAATGTATATAATAACTACAAGCTAACAGAAAACGTTAAATTGTGTATTAACACAATAGAAACTGTGCTATACATTTATTTTGGTCTGTGGATAATAGTTTAGGTAAGGAAACTTCCTTATATGTCTGTCGCTGTATGACGCAATATCTTAATTTTTAAGTCATATATGTAAAGAGCAAAAAATGAAAAAATTGAAATCCATAGACAACCATACATATGTAATATCTATCGATATATGTACAGAGATGTATATGTATCCACCCTGCATTTATTTTGCTGGCTTTAGAGCGATTGTGATACAGTGTGCTTTTGTATGTTCCATTGAATATGAGTATCTGCAAAAGTACCCATACTGCGCACAGTATTAAACGTCACTTTTTTCGTTTGGCGTCGGTTTTCCATACTAAAAATTTAATGACTGACAAAATCGAGCCGTTCCTCTGACTGCTTATCATTTAAATTCGACTTGAATGAACCACCCAGTTTTTGATCATAGCCATAGCAATTATCTATTAAAGTTTCGATTAAACGCTAAGTATTAAAATGATCACAGGGAATGTCAACCTTTAAAAAATATTAATTCTCTACTTGTTTCATTTTTTTATACTTTCTCACCTTCATACACACGAAAAGCGAAAAAGGCAACGTTACCAAGACCAAGATGGATGACAGACCGGTGAGGATTAAGTCAAAAATCCTTGAGTCTGAACCTTCATTTTTTTGAGCTGTAAAACATCGAAACAACATTTCAGGATAGAAAGCTTAAAACACCTATCACATTAAATTTAAACATTCTAGCACATTTCTACCTCATCTTCGTTACTTTCTATATTATAATAGTAGGTAATATTACTCACTTTTAAAATACACATACCATCACAACTGTGAGTTCTCTTCTTATCGAACTTTATTACCAAACTCTTGAGTTTCATTGCATTTGTTCTTTATTATTGCTGTCCCTAATTATGGAGCTGTAAATAGTTCTCTGTCAAAAATCTATTTGTTTGAATGCTGAAAGATTAGGCTGCGATCAACTACACAAACATTATTAAAATTATTTTGAGAAATCAGTGTTTAACTTTTCAACCGATGTCACTTCTTGTAGTGAGCAACTTTAAAAGACTCTCCTGAAAATATTATAATAGCTTTCTAGTATATTATAATAATGACTCTCCGAGATGTCTCTATAGTAGTTTGGATTCTTCAATGTACATTGTTAAGTGACAAGTCATTGATGACTTTGCATTTGGTTTGTTCAAGTTACACAAATAGCTCAGTACATGTAGTAAAAGTCTGGGTTCTGTTACCTTATGGTCTGCTCTTTATGCTAAAAGCACGTGAACATATTGTAATTCTTGAATCTGAGCAAGTATCAACATACTGTATGCATTTTTTGATCTACATTTATTAATTATCTCCTGCACCTACTTGTACTGTTTGGGTAACATGAATGTCTCTTGTGACACACTATGTTAAATGCTGCAAAACAAAGACGAAAATATTTGAATTGTAAACCCATAATGGACGACTGCTAACTCGTGAAAATTGTATTTATTTATTTGCTGAACATTTTGTTTATGCAATTTCGTCGGAAAAAGACTGCTAGATTCACAAACATAGTAACAGGTTGCTCTCGACAAAGTTGCATAAGCGAAATGTTGAACGAAAAAATAAATGTATGAACTTAATGATAATATTATAAAATGAAATGTCTGGTACAGATGACTCTGACACTTAACATTATTATTGTTACAGAATAGTTTAAGTTGCGTAGTTATAGTTATTATTAGTTATTTTTGTTACAGAATGGCTTAGGTTGCGTAGTTATAGTTATTATTATTTATTTTTGTTACAGAATAGCTTAAGTTGCGTAGTTATAGAATAATAACCATACATACGCAACCTAAGCCATTCTGTAACAAAACTAACTAATAATAACTATAATTACGCAACCTAAGCCATTCTGTAACAAAAATAACTAATAATAACTATAACTACGCATCCTAAGCCATTCTGTAACAAAAATAACTAATAATAGCTTAATTTCATTGCTACATTTTGTAACACTCTGTAATCCTAAAACTAACGTACCTCCAGTGGCTCAGCAGTAAGTCTTATGGCTTATAACACTAAAAATCGTGTTTCGATACCAGTGGTGGGCCCAGAACAGATAGCCCATTGAGTAGATTCATGCTTAACAGCAACCAGACCTAAAGCTCAAGTAATAAATGTACCAGACTCTAACTTTAACCTTCCTGAAGCTAACCTTAAAGAATTTTCAAATATATAAAGATCAAATATTAACTTCTGAACTCATGAGCTTTTTCCCTATCAATTAAAGACTGTAATAAACACACATGGTGATTATCGTTATCCAAAAATACAATGTATACTAAAATTTCACCCATGAGACACATATGTTAAGGGGGTTAACACACCTAGTTAACAGTTGGAATAAACTAACATAAGGGTCGGATAGGTCTAGTTGTGGCCTAGTAATTAACGGGGACAGAATGTGAATCTGAGAGTTCATAGTTTCATTCGTTTGTCGCAAAAACTCGCTTGAGGTTTCGGTAACGCTATAAGATTTAACAGTCGTATACCACTAGGCAACCAGACAAGATTAACCCAAGAGTTGTCGGTATATGCTGCCTTCCCTCTAGTCTGTTATTTGGATTTTAGGGATGGCTATGTGAAGAGAGTACTATGCACAGCCTTGCGCAAAAATTCTGAAACAACTAAACTATTAGGTCTTGGTAACTTCAATTAACAAAAACCTCGGAAACTACCAGATATTAACCAAGTGATATATGCATTTCGTTATTTTGCAGCTATTTTCTAGTTGTAAATAATTAAAACTTCTCAATAAGTAAAACACACATAACAAGCTAATACTTAGCAAGAATAATTTAATGTGTTTACTTTAGCTGATATCAACTCCTAGGAAAATCCTTTATTATTATATCATTTAGTATGTTGATGTACATATTTACAAATATAAAAATATACTAATTTTTCAACCAAAGTTGCTACATAAAGTAAATTCGGATAAATAAGACACAACATATTTTTTCTTACATAAAGTTGCTTGTTACGATAGAACCAAAATTAAGAACAGATTATCTACTTTTTATATCTATGATGTAACCAAATTGAACATGCATTATAGTTACTATACGTAAACCTGCTTGTTTTAATTGAACCAAAGAGAAGGACAGGAGGACAATTTTTAACGTTAAATTGATGGTTATGGTATAAACAGGTAAAGAACAGGCGGTACATGTTTTATCTAAACTTACTGGTTATGATATAACCAATGATGAAGAACAAACGACCCACTTTCTACCTAAAGATGCCAGTTGTGATATAACCAAGATGAAGAACAGACGGCCCATTTTTTTACCTAAAATCACTGGCTATGATATAACCAATGACAAAGAATAAACGGCCCACGTTCTACCTAAAGCTGCCTGTTGTGATATAACCAAGGTGAGGAACAGACGGCCCATTTTTTACCTAAAGTGCGAAAGAGATGGTCCTTTTTTAACCTAAATTTTCTGGTTGTGATATAATCAAAATGAACAGCATACATTATATATTCTACGTACGCATGCTATGAAATAACAAAGTGAAGAACAAACGGTCCATTTTCTACCTAAAGTTGCTACTTATGATATAACCAAGGAGAAAAATAGACCATCCATTTTTTACTAAAAATTGCTGGTTGTGACGTAACTAAGGCGAAGAACAAACGGTTAATTTTCTACGTAAGGTTACAGGTTGTGATATAACTAAATGAACAGCAAACGGCTAATTATTTTACCAAATAATTGTTGCTATGATAGAAACGAGGTAAACATTTAAACCTAAAATGTTATATAGTGATAATAAGCCAGCCTTTTCAGCTTGTTTACGGTACTATTTTAACAAGCGTCCTGAAAGTATAGGATCAGTTACTTTGAAACCATTACTGAAATGGAAACTATAATATTTCTTACCTTTACTGTACATTATTCGAAAGGTTAAAAGATAATACTACTGAAGGGTTAAAAGACAATACTACTGAAGGGTTAAAAGACAATGCTACTGAGTCACTTCATAGAAACAGTTAAAGTTTCTTGGTGCATTAGGACAGTCAAACACGATAAGCTGGTAGATTCTCTTTCTCTTGTTGAACTGATCGTTCTCTGGAGAACAATAAGTTTTAGACAGACGGCATAAGCAAATGGCAGGTAACCGTTCCACACCCTCTGAAAGGAGTCTCCTCTAACGTTTATTTGATATTATCTGCCATGTGCGGCATCACGTGACCATTTTTATCGTGGAAATGAATACATGCGGGGTTAATCATATATGTATATCCATAGAGATGCATATAATCGTTCGTGCTTAAGGGACTTGTAGTTACTTTCTAAAACACGAAAGTGCATAATATTAGTTACATGCTAAAATGTCAACTACTAATTTCATTCTTATCTCTATTCAATTCTGTACACATTATTTTATAAACAGAAAAGTTGCAACCTTTATATACAGAAAAAGGTTTACCATACAAAGATATCATATTATGAATACTACTTCCTAACTTCAAGGAGTTATAGTTTAGTTAAGAACGTTGTTATTCACGGAATCATGTATAGTGATCATGAGAAATAATTGTAACAAAAATATTTCTTGTAAGATATCTCTGAACAATAAGAGCTTATATTCTATGATAACTACGTATCGTCACTGAATAATGAAAGCGTATATTCTGTCATAGCTATATATTGCCACTGAAAAATGACAGCCTTTATAGTTTCATAGCTTTGTATCGTCACTGAACAATGAGATCTTATATTCTATCATAGCTATGTCTCGTCACTAACCAATGAGAACGTATATTCTGTCATAATTATGTATCGTCACTGCACAATGAAAGAGTTTATTGTTTCATAACTATATATCGTCCCTGAACAATGAGATCGTATATTCTATCATAGCTATGTATCGTCACTGAACAATGAGATCGTATATTCTATCATAGCTATGTATCGT